GTGTCAGGATGAAGAAGGACAATATAATCATAAAACTGCTGAGAAGGTAACAGACTTCGGGGATAAGATAGTGAATTGGAGCAGCCTCCAGAGACGCCATAAATGAGAAGATCAGGTTAGCGACAGTCTATTCTGAAGAGAGAGAGGAAGAGCGGTCCTCAGAACAGACTCTGCCAATCAGCACTGATTCTTTTCATTATGGCATGTCTAGGTGTGCATATGTATGTCTGCATATGTATATGGTGTGTGTACATGTGTCTATGTAAGTGTACAATTGTTAAATGTGTTTGTTTCTGTATGGTTATATGTGTATCTGTGTATGTGTATTTGCGTGTGTTTGTGTCTTTAAAAATCTCGATATCCTTGCTGGCTTTCTCATCCACGATGCTGATTTTATCCCCCTGGTCCTGCCTGCATCTGTCTGCTTGTCAGAGGGTAGGTATTTCTTTGAAGCAACTGACCCTTCCTTGGTATTTCAGTGGGAACCAGGTACTGTCTGCTCCACGGAGGGCAGTGGAGACAAGTGGTCTTCTACATGTGGTCACCATAGTATCACGGTGACACACAGAACGATCTGACCTGAGCACCGAATGAGAGCCCATTTTCTCGTATCTGCACGGCCTTCCTAAACATCAAATCTTGGCCCATTTGATACAGGAGCATTAAGTCCTGCAATCTACACCTCTCTGGTTATGCATGCCTAAAACCATTTTTTTGTTGTTGTTGTTGTTTTGAGACAGGATTTTTCTGTGTAGCCCTGGCTGTCCTGTAACTCGCTCTATAGACCAGGTTGGCCTTGAACTCACAGAGATGCGCCTGCCTCCTGAGTGCATACAACATCACCACCCGGGCTCCATTTCGATTTCTTGGCTGACAAAGGCAGCCTCCCTGTCACATACACTTGGAAAACAGAAAGCACTTTAGGTAGCCCGCTCAGGAAAGGACTTGGCACAGGTGCTTCCAAAACAGTGGAAGGGCTGGAGGAAAGGAAGGTTGGGATGCAGCCAGCAAGTGCAGGAAGTCAAGGGATTGCAGGAATTGCAGGAAACCCAGGTCATGACTTCTGCTGCCTGCAGCCTGAGCAGGTGAGCAGCAGAGTATAAAGGCGCCTGCAAACCCTCACGTATGCCATCTGCACACACGCCAGCCCTTGTTTCTTTTCTGGGGCCCTTAATTATAACATAGGTAAAACACTCAAGGCAAGTGAGTCACACAAGTTGAGTTCCCAAGACTCCCCTCCATAGCAGAACCAACAGGTAATAATACCACACAATCCACCAATTTGGTCATTTGTGTTCACACCCAGTGTGGTAGATAGCAGAACTTCTAAATGTCCCGTTTGAACCTGTGGTGGTGCACCTAGCCTTGGTGCAATGGGTGAGGGGAGGAAAAGTGGGGGGAAAAAGGGGGAGCCCTATCTGATAGACCCATTTCTTTCTATAATTTGCCTCAACACCCTATAATTTGAAATCTAAATGAAAACACTATAGCCTATGGTAGAGTTAAAATGAGAGGGGATTTGAGGCCAGCCTGGTCTACAAGAGCTAGTTCCAGGACAGGAACCAAAAGCTACGGAGAAACCCTGTCTCGGAAAAAAAAAAAAAAAAAAAAAAAAAGGAGAGGGGAACACACACACTAGTTAATTTATAAAATTTATACATTACAAAGGAAAGAGAAAAACACATGCCATTCCTAAAGCCCTTGTGCCCAGAGCAACTCCTGAGGTGATGATTAGATGTCTCCATGACCTCCATACCCGCTCCCCGCCCCCACTACCACCCATGTCCCTGGGCTCGCAGCTCCAAAACTGGCTACCTAGGAGTTCTAAGTGGTGGCGACCCAGCTCTTCCCTCCTGCAGATCCATGCCATTAGGATTCTGCCATGTGAAGAAGCTGCTCTTTGGCCATACACACATGCAAGTACTAAGTGATACCCCAGAGAAACTCTCTCTCTCTCTCTCTCTCTCTCGTGTGTGTGTAGCCTGACAAGGCAGGCACAGAGGCATCTACTGACATTATGGACATGGAAAAAAATTCTTGGACTCCGATGTTCTTCATGTTCCTAGGGCTTGTTGGTTTTCTGAACTTACGGTCTTGCACATGTTAAGCAATAGCTCTGGGCTATGCAGTCCCAACGTATTTAATTTTCATTTGTGTGTGTGCCCCTTTGTGTGTGCATCATGAGTATGCAGATGCCCATGGAGGTATCCCTAGAACTGGAGCTACAGATGGTTGTGAGCCGCCATGCTGGAGGTGGGAAATGATCCCTGGTCCTCTGCGGGAGCAGCCTCTGCGGAACCATATCCTCGGCTCTCCTCTACCCCCGCCATCTTAAAGCAGCTCTGTTTTTCAAAGGATTACTGAAAAGGGTTACAGTGAGACTTCTTCCAGGAGAAAATAAAATGGAAAAAAAAAGGGGGGGGGGGAGGACTTTACACCTACATGTGAAGGTGGCATAGAGTTGTGCCTCACCTGACAGAGACGTGTCATCGGGCCGTGTTGCTACTGTGTGAACAGTTTGAGTATAAACCCAGAAGATGCCAGTAGCTGATGCTATTTTATGGGACCTGATAGACACATTATGATGGTAACTACTGCAAAATATATTTCTCCTGAAACAGACTCTGTATACAGAAAAAAAAAAAACCAACAGTTTTTAATCTCCAAATTAAAACCAGTGGTTCTATTTTAAAAGGGGGAGGGCAAGGGACACAGTGGGGAACATTTGCTCAATGGGATTTGTATTGTCTTTTAAAAACTAAAGGCTGGGTGTGGTGGGAAGCACATACAGTCCCAGCATTTGGGAGGCTAAGGCAAGAGCATCACAAGTTTGAGATTAGCATAGACTATGAGAGTACATAGGCCAGCCTGGGAAATTTTGCAAAATTATATGAGAATGAAATATATGTATGTGTATACATATATATCCATTTGTATGTATATATGGATATATACACATACATAAATAAAAAGACTGACACTATTAACTAAAAAACTCAAAAACTGAAACAAAATGACTGATTCTAATATATATAAATAAAATTTAGCAAAATGTATAATCAAAAAATGATGGAAGGACTGAGAAATGGCTCGGCCACAAAGCACATGCTGCTCCCCTGGAGCATGCAAAAGCTGGGAATGGTAATAAATGCCTGATAAGTTTCTGTAACCCTAAAACTGGAGGAGTGGAACAGGGTAATTCCCAGGGCTTGCGAGCCAGCCGTGGTAGCTGAATCAGTAAGCTTCCAGTTCAGTGACAGATTATCTCAAAACATAAGGTAGAAGAAGTTGGAAAGATGGCTCAGTGCTGTTTTTCCAACTGTTTGTAACTCTAGTCCCAGGGGATCCAAAGTCTTCTTCTGGCCTGCATTAGGCATGCATGTGGTGCACAGATATACATGCAGGCAAAACTTCGATACACATAAAACAATAGAATCTTTAAAAAGAAAATGGGCTGGATATGGTGGAGCACACTTTTAATCCCAGCACTCAGGAGGTAGGCAGACAGATTTCAAGGCCAGCCTGGTCTACAAAGCAAGTTCCAGGACAGCCAGGGCTACACAGAGAAACCCTGTCTTGGGGTGGAAGTGTGTGTGTGGGGGGGGGGGGTGAATAAAACTGAAAAATATAAAAATATCCTCAACATTAACCTTCTGCCTCCACATACATGTAAATATGCGCCTGCATACACACAGACACCACTGATTAGCGCTTTTCCTTTTGGCTATTTATATATTCTTGCTGGATCGAACTTATCATATAATGTTGTTCTTTGCAACAAGATAAAAATAAAGTCTATTTTATCTGCTACCAGTAGCCAATCACGGACTCTCTTTGGGCTACCATGTCTATGGGGTGTCTTTTCAACCCTCTTACTTCAGTCAACGTGTCTTGGAATCTAACGTGGGTCTTTGTGGACAGCACAGAGCACAGAGCCATCTGCCATCTTTCAAGGACCAGTCTTTGAGGGTGAGCAAAGCCCCGGGGTTCTCTGTAAAAACCACTCATTTAATAGACACACGATGACAACTGAAAAGAAATAAGCCACTTCCATCCCAAAATTCTGTCACAACTTGCCATGGGACCTTGACCCAGCTAGTTCCTTTTTCTAATTTTTTAATTACATTTGTATTTATTATTTGCTGGGGGAGGGGGCATGCTGTGGCCAGTTTATCTGTTTCTACCATGTGGGTTCCAGGGATCAAAGGCAGGTTGTGAGGTTTGGTGGCAAACACCCTTACCAAATGAGTCATCTCGCCAGTCCCTACAGCCAATTCTTTTTTTGTAATAAATAGAAAGCCCACCACAATTGATGATGCTGTTATTTATTAGACATGATTTAAATTTAGGTTTAAATCAAAGGAAGCATCAGGAGCAATGGCGCTTAGTCACCTGCAGGAGGCGCTGCTGACTATACTAAAGGCCCCTTTCTTGCTCCTGACAGCCTGGCTTTCCAGCGTTTGACCTGCTATTCCTTAACAAATCAATTGGGGAGTTAGGCTACTATTATCTTCCCTTCCAGGAATTGGCTTAGAGGGTTGGGGACATCATCTAGTCTGTGAAGAATGTCTTCTTGAGAGCACATGTAACTTGTTTTTAACCTTAGAGAAGACAAGCAAGTCCACAGCTGTTAAAGTGTCCCCACCAACCACAAGGGAGTCGACAGCAGAGGATAGGGCGCAGAGAGCAGAAGGGAAGGGAGTCCCTGACTACATTTCAGGCTGAGGCCAACCACTTGGAAGCCTTTAAGAAAAAAACAAACCTCCGTATTAACCTAATCTATCTTAGGTTTCTCATTTTTATCCAGAAATTACATGACTAGATTTACTAAGTATTTCTCAATGCTATCAAACAACAGATTCAAGAATGGGTTAGCTGGAATAGACACCCTGAGCAGGTCCCCAGCACCTGCACGGTGGAAGGAGAGAACCGACATCCACAGCTGTTCTCTGACCTCTACACGTGCTGGCGACATTTTTAAAAAAGTTAAACCAATGAGCTTCTGTATTTTAATATTTTATTCAAAATTTGTTTTAAGTTTCTGTAAAACATTCTTCAATTCATCATTTTAACATTATAAATTCAACTTGAAGTAGTTGAAAAAACAAACAAAACAGGCAAAGGGACGGACTATAAGCAAGCAGGAGAACAAAGCCCACCGTCACCAGGACAAACAAGCCTAACTTATCGGGCTTGTATGCACTATATTTTCCTTCCAGTAGTAATATTTGGAAAAATTATGCTTTCAAAGAACCAGCCCTTACAAATAGATACTCTTTCCAAAAATAAACCCAGCATCTAAGCCCTAAATGCGCACAGAACTAGTTGGAAGCAGTGGCTGTCAGCCGGCAGGTCACACTCACACCCTCACACCACAGATGAGCTCTCACTGACTGGGTAGGTGAACTCCAAACCTCTGGCTCCTCCTCTGTGTTGGCAATTGTCTTATTGCTAAATTATACATAATTCATTTTCTTTGGCAACATTATTGGCTAACACCAAGGGATAAGTACGAAGGTTTGGGCTGTCAGCATTCCAACCATGGTAGCTGTTCTACTGTGATTTCTAAGAGGTGCCAGACTAGAAAAGCCACCACACCTAACACCAGGACCACGGGCCTACCTGCTCACAACTAGAGACAAGAGTAGAATTACTCAGCATCACTGGTGAAAAACAACGCCAGCTCCAATTCCTCACACCTGCGATAAAGGGAAAAACTAAGTGGAAAAATTAACATCTGGATACCCAGCAATTTTTTTTTTTTTGCAAAGTTACTTTGAATAAACTCAAAGTGGTCTGAACTTGTTCAAAATTTTGCATGAATTCTCATTATAATACCACTAAAACTTGTACTTAAAAATACTGATATCTTACATTTTTAACTTCTTGTTCCATGTACTAAGCCTATTTTAAAGGCTTGCCATGATACTACCAAGACACTCCCAACAGGAAGCTCACTCCAGAAGTTTCGCTCCATTTTCTTCTCCATCTACAGAATCACCCACTTAAGAGGCTTCCTCTGAAACATGTCGCTCCAAGTTCAAAGTGAATTAAAGTAGGTGTGGCAGAAAGTGCTACAGGAAGCATGTTCACATAACAATAAAGCAAACACCAGGAATAAGCACATATGCAAACACTGTATGCAAATGCTCGTGAACGTAAGAAATGTTCCTGAGGACAAACTTATACATAGCTGTATACGACTTCAAACTAGTACAACTAGAAACATCTACAAAAGCCACAATAAAGTCAAATGCACACTCAGAACAGTCTCACCAACTGGCCTGCCAGGGGCTCCTCAGTGCAGCTGCTTAAGAAATGCTCTCTTCCTGATCAATCATCTCTGTTTTAACTGAAAACACATCTGCCAGCATGTGTTTGGGAATCTCTGAGCCCCGGACTTTAAGGGCGTAACAGGCGTTCTCCACTTTGGCCAGGCTCTGCTTCAAGGTGTACAGCTTCTTAGAAACCTCATAGGGCCCGGTGTTGCCAATGAAAGAAAACCCATCATAAACCTGGCGTAAGAACTGGCTCACTTCAAAGGGGGTGTCAATGTCCCCATTCCCCACACTGTTGATGCACATCCGCATCAGTTCTCCAGTCAGGTCGGCCACTCCCAGCAGGTAATCAACAGGGGTGATTTTCAGTCTCCAAGTAACAAGCGGCTTATCTTGTCCATCAGAGGAGGGCTGGTAAAGACACAAAAGAAAGCCACACACAAAGAAAACACTGTGATAAAGTGAATGTATCAGGCATCACAACCATAAAGTAGGAAAACAATAACAAATCAGGCATCCTGGTCTTCCCTATGTGTTAACTATGTGGCAGGGGCACAAGGAATCCAACCAGGCACTGGGTAAGGAGCTGAGCAGGTGGCATGGACGTATCAGAATAAACAAATACAACCAATGTAAAACCAATTTTGTTCAACTTCACTTGACGAGCACAGTAGTCACATGCTAGCAAGGCCGACTTGACGTCACTGTGACACTCCTTATCAGACAGCAGTATGGTCCCCTCCTTCAGTCCTCTTCCCTCATCTTCGGCTGGCTGCTTCTTCACTATTCTGCACTGCCCATCACGGTCTGCAGCTGTACCCAGTTCTTGTCAGTGCCTCCATCTCCTACCTCTCATGTCCAGCAAATCAGAATCTTGAATCAGTGCCGAGATCCTTGTCAGCCCTACACTAAGCAGCCGAGTACAAGTGAGTTTAGAAACAGTAATCATGTCTACAGACTGTTGAGTTTGAACTACTGCAAGTTACTCACCAATCCTTTTAGTTATTCTCCAGTGGTTTTCTTTATTAGTTTATGTGTATAGGTGTTTTGCCTTCATGCATGTCTGTGTACCAGGTTCATGCCTGCAGCCTTCAGAGGCCAGAAGAAGGCATCAGATCCCCCTGGAACTGGAGTTACAGATGGTTGTGAGCCTTCATGTGGGTGCTGGGAACTGAACCAAGTTCTCTGAAAACCCAGCCCATCTTTCCAGGCCCACTCTCAAATATAGCATGGTTCCTTCCTATATGTCCTTCCTGTGTAGCCTCTTCATACACTAGTCCAAGTCTCTGGTACGCTCCTCTGTGCCCTACTCAATTCCCAAACTCTTCAGTTTCAGGAAATGAATTAGCCTAACTTCACAGACTCAGTCACCTCACGCTGCCTCTCAACTATCTTTGTAGTACCACAATATCCTTACCTATATTACAGCCCCCTCCATCGTCACCTTCCATCCTCCAGTCTCGAAGGACACATTATCTTTCCTTACAAATGACCTTGACTCATCTCCTCCCACCTCTTCCAGGGCTCTGCCTCATAACATACTTGTCTCTTAGCAAGTTTTTTTATCTCTCTCTAAACCTCAAGTCTCCTCCTCTGTAAAGAGGATTATGTTACCTACTTCAGAAGTCTTTTATGGATTAAATAAGACAATATTCAGTAAATTCTTGAATGCATGATGTGCAGCCCAAGAAAACATCCCATAAATGTAGCTGCTACCATCACCACCTCCATCATGTGCCTCTCTCTGCATGAGTTTCTTTCTGGGAGTGGATACCTACACTGTAACCAATGCACGCGGACGTGGCCAGGTGAAGCAGGAAGTGCATTGGGGCAGTGGCCTGCAAAGGCACACCGTGTTTGAGGGACTAACGAAGTGTTTGTTCTAAGTAAGTTAAAGTGCAGGACAGACTGAGACTAGAGACACACATGCAGGACCCCACACTGAGGAATTTGTTGAGAGTCTCTGAGAACTAAGTACAGAAGTGGCAGAGCGAACTTCTATTTATCACTGTGATTGCTGTGCACTGATCTCAGTCCTACTCAGACACTTCAGAGAGACCTTGTGACCCAATGGTCCGTGACAGAACATGAGAAACAAGGCCTACTGACAGCAGGGGTGATAAGAGCCAGGTAGTAACAGAAAGAGGAAGCCCCCAAAGCCTGCTTCCTTTTGAAAGCACATCCATCATAAAGGTTTCTGGGGATTCTGCGAGCTGAGACTGGTATTTATTTGTTTGTTTGTTTTAGGAAAACAGGAAGTTATAGTAGATGAAGAGGAATGCATTTCACATACCACTTAGAATATATTTCAGAAAATAAATAGTCTGTTATTACACAGAAGGGGGCTTGGTTGTAAGCTGACTTTAGAGAAATAGGCATGTTAAAAAATAAACAAATTTAAAGTTAAATTTGTCAAAATAAAATCTGCTTCCTGGAAACTATCAGTAAGGTTAAAAACTGCGTAAGGTACGATTTTTCAAGATGAACACCCGAGTGTTTAAGAGGACGGTGACATCACTAGTGGGTCAGGCAGAACGATTTGGACAAAGCAAATGCTTCCAAGGCTCCCTCCCGGCCATTACGCAGGCCCTGCTCTACGAGCTGACGAACGGCTATTGCTTCCTCCACGCTTCTGATTGTCTGACATCCATCATAGACATTTTCTAATGATTTTGACAATATTCTCACAAGTCAAGTTAAAAGAAACTTTTTTTTTAATCAAATTTTCAGAATGTCCTGTTCCAAGAATCCAGCACTAAAGGGAAAGTTCTTGGTGAATGCAGACACATCTCCTGTGAGAAGTGCATCCGGGTCATAATCTCAAACGCCCTGAAAGGGCACACATGCTCAGTCTGTCGTCCCCCCCACTGTCTCCCGCTGAGGTAGAAAGGAGGCTGCTCTCACAGAGCAGGACAAACGGCTGGCCCTACTTCCCACTGCCTCTCCTGAGAACACGGTGGACTCCTGGGAGTGAGTCCCTCCCGTCCAGCCAGGTTATCCTGCATTCTCACATTTTATTTCATGTCTGGAAATTCTGACGTCTAAGTTTCTTTGTCCACCTAGCCTGACTGAGTGGTGTTTTTAAAAATAAATAAAAGGGGAAAAAAGGAGTGGAAAAAATCCTGTTTATCTTAATACATGTGAAAGAAGAGATCAAACGCCCACTTGCTTGCCTGAATGTTGTATGTTCAAATCCAAAAGGGGAAAGAAGTACCTCGTAAGTCAAACTGCACTCTTTCCTGAATTCAGAAGATCTAGGCAATGCCTATGCGCATATGGTAGTCTGAGGACAAACTGCTCTCACCACGTGACAGCTCTGTTGTAACAATGAACTGCTGTCAAGTATAAACACTGCTTAGTTAAGAGACCTTTGTACGTTAAACTCTTAAACTCTTTCGTAAGGCTCTTTGTGGTAGGTGCACACACCAGGGGTCCCTCACATACCCCTCCCAGCGGACTTCAAGAGCACAAGCCTGGATTCTGAACACCCTGCTGCATGTGGCTAGTTTCTTACTCCTTGAAGCCATGTGACTCTTCTTCTATCACCAGTGGAGACACTTAAGACAGTGCTTCCCTGGTGAGACCTAGCAAACCAGCTTCAGGAAGCCAATTCCCATGCTGCTGTATAAATTATATAATGAAACATGATTTTAAACCCTCACCGTCTTGCTTTCTTTCCCACTGTCTTCTGTGGTGAATGTCAACTGCTTGTTAATCTCTTCCACACTGATTAACGAACGAGTTCTGATGAAGTGTTGAAAAGACACAGCCTCTACATATTCTTGCAGTCCTGAAAAACAGCGAAGAAGGCCACTAGGAACAAGCACCAAATTACAAGCGTGTCACCAGAAAAAGCTAGAAGTTACTTATCACCTAGCATGATAAAAATGTTGGATGTCCCTGCAGACTGTATCAGCTGAGGCAGGGCACACACGCACTCCTGGGCCTCTGTACCAAGACCCGTCTACGGCAGCTGGGATGATGATTAGGGCACATGTCCTGATCACTAATGCATACCTTGCACATAATAAAATGAGGAAACGTAAGATCTGTGCTATCTCACAAGAGTTCAAGGACACCTGGCCCCAGACAGAGAAGCATTCCGGGTCACATGTAGGTAAAAGGATGTTTAAACAAGCTATGTTTCAACTTGATGAAAAGGACATCCGTTATGTTCAGTGTATAATCCCCAAGGTGAAAATTTTCAGCCCACTGCCATACTCCAAACAATGCCTTCCCCTGTGCCTCTACCTTGGAGGAAATCCAAAAGGAATTATTTACAAAACCTGCTTCCAGTAAGAGAGAACTCTGGAGGTTGCTTTTATGTAATTTGTTCTTTTTTACTTCATTCCTCTGTTAGAACATACACAGGGAAACCCAGTTAAAGGCTTCTAATTCCTTTTATTGATTCTCATTGTACTTAAGCCACACACATTCAATCTTATTCGACACCAAGCCTAGCCTGAGGGTGAACACATGAGCAAGTCCAACCTGCTTTTCAGGATTTTAATGCTTTTCGTAGAAAATTGTTAACCACAGGTACAAGCCCCAGAGGAAGGGAAGGTCATGCTCATACAAAGACTTGTAGGCAGATGTGAATAGCAGCATCCCTCATAAGAGCCAAAAGTAGAACAACTCCAATGTGCATCAACTGATAGACAAAATGTGGTCTATCCATTCATGATTACACCATAACAAGAAAGTACTGGTGTGTGTTACCCCACAGATGAACCCTGAAACCTGAAACCATGATGCTATGTGTCCATTATACAACCTTATTTTGTGATATGTGCAGAAGAGACAAGTCCAAAGAGACAGTGAATTAGTCCTTGCTAGAGGGACTGGATCAAAACAAGCTATACTGCAAGTAGCTGCTGTCTGTTCCAGAAGGCAGAGATTAAGTTGGTACAGCATGTTCAGAACAGAGTAAGAAGTGTCATCCTTATCAACACAATGTTACAGCGTCCAGACTAAATTGTCAACTTTCTGAAACAGGATTTCAGAAAAGCGAAGGGATGTTTAGAAATGAACCTGGAGAAAAATACTGGAGAAACGGGACTGAAATACAGGGCAGGAGGACACTGCAGTGGTGCACCCCGTCAGTCATCTAGAAAAGGAGTCTATTTGTGCTTTGTAGTCCTCAAAATTTTAAAGAGATTTTTCTAAGTTTGTAGTATAGAATACAGACTTACCAAATTGTGATTAAATGGTCCCCAAAGTATTTACTGAACCATTTCCCATTTAAACACAATTTGAGGTTGAGGCTGACTTCGGGGACTGTTAGTCCTGTACTAGGTTTTACCTGATATTAAAGTCAGTAGGTTCAACTGAGTCTGGAAAAAAAGAGACCAAAGATGACCTTCATCAAAACTCCCGTGAAGCCTCAATTTCCTTACGCATAAGTGGTAGAAATAATTTAGAAGCTACAAAAGCAAAACCTGTGACTGTAAAGAAGAATGAGTATGTGTCTCCAGCAAGGCCAGCAGAGAAGCTCAGGCACAGGGATGGACACCTTGACCCCAGTTCATGGCCAGGCAAGCAGTGTAGACATTATCTGTTTTAAAAACCAAAAATATCGCCAAGCGGTGGTGGTGCACGCCTTTAATCCCAGCACTCTGGAGGCAGAGGCAAGCGGATCTCTGTGAGTTCGAGGCCATTCTGGTCTAAAGAGCGAGTTACAGAGCAGGCTTCAAAGCTACAGAGAAACCCTGTCTCGAAAAACCAAAAATAGGGCTGGAGAGATAGCTTAGAGGTTAAGAGAACTGACTGCTCTTCCAGAGGTCCTGAGTTCACTTCCCAGCAACCACATGATGACTCACACCCATCTGTAATGAGATCTGGTGCCCAGAACACTATATACATAATAAATGAATTTAAAAAAAAAGAAAAAGAAAAACCAAAATAAAGAAAAAAAACCAAAATTTCTAACTGACCACAAACACTCATCTAACCCATCCTTCACATTCTTGAATAAATTAATTAAAACACTGGTAAGCAATTATTTTACACATGTAAACATCTCAAACCATAAGTTTCAGTGATATAGACTAAACTAAAACAATACAAAATTTTTTTTTAAAGTGTTCCTTTAAGATGCAAGGGATTCCCTGACCTGTTAACTTCTCAACAACAACAACAAGAAGCCACACATTTCTTAAGTAGCTTATGTCAGGCAACTAACTGCACATTTGCTTGTTCAGCCGATTCCGTCGACAGGTCAGGCTACTCGTACCCAGCATGTACCATTGAATGTACTGCTGAACACGAGGCCACTGCCTGCACTCACACACCCTCCCTGGGAAGCATCCTTTCTGCCCTCAGCACCGTGTTCCTTTAGTTCAATTCAGAGCTGCTCTATCTCTAAGCCAAAGGAGTGTCCTTTGGAGCAACACCAGGGCATGCACTCACCAAGTAAAGTGGTGGCAATTCCTGAGCATCATATTGTCAACACTGCAAAAACATTTCATTCCTGAGCATCATATTGTCAACACTATAAACACATTTCATTTCCCTATGTTTAATCTAAGTAACTTTTTAAGTCACAGATAAGAGCTTCTTTTGACTGCTTCATCCTAAACTTAAGAATAAGTATCACTGCTTCTTCAGATCAATAACTTCATTTTAAATCCAGGAAAGTAATGCATGCTAAATATGCCAATACTTGAGAGGCAGAGGCAGGATTAAGAGTTCAAAGGCAACCTTAGCTATCTACAGACGCTAAGGCCAGACTGAGCTATGAGACTGTCAAAACTTCATTTTAAAGACTTCATATGGGACCAGTGAGAAGGCTCAGTGAGTAAGAACACATGCCACCACACCTGACGACCTGAGTTCAAACACTGAGACCCACATGGTGGAAGGAGAGAACCAATTTCCATAAGTTGTTCTCTTCCCTCCACACATGGGCCCTGGTATATGCACGTGCACACACACACACACACACACACACACACACACACACACGGGTGTGTAAGTTAGTGAAAACTGACATATTCACGCAGCACTCTATTAACTCTGAGACTCACCTGTGGTGATAGCTCGATGGAACTGATGCATATCTTCTCCTGAGAGCTCTTGGGCGACCTGTAATATTTTCTGTCTGACACCATCCAGTTTAATTTCTGATTCAGTCAGTATCTCCTCTATATCAGGAGCACTATAAAGACATTAGGAATGTTGAAAACATCAGCCTTGTGATCAAAACTAACTATAAGAAAAACCTTATTCATAAAAAAATCAACTTCTGTAGCTGGCTGCTTCCACCTAAAACAACTCAAAAAAAAAATAGTCATACAGAACAATGGTTTCAGCCCTATAACCAGGCACCATGAACATGGGACAGGACAACAATCAGGGAAGTGAGGACACACCCGATGTCCATCTCAAGGCTCGAAAGAGCTTCCAAGTGACGATGTAGGAAGAAGCTCGGCAGAGCCAGAGTCGGCCTGGGTTGAAAAGTTGAAAGTTTAAGGTCAAGAAAGCCCAACATGCAGGGCAGAAAGCCAGGAGAAGCTGCAACACTGAAAGAACTTCAGAGCTCTGCACCACACAAGGGACTTCCTTAAGTCTCCCCCTGAGTATAGGTCACTGCAGGCAAGGACTAAAACTGTGGCCTGGCACCCAAAGCCACAAAGGAACCACACAGAGAAGGCTGGCCGAACAATTCCCATAGCCTACTGACAGCAGCACACACTACAAAGATATTAAAGGAAATTATTCCAGGTGGAACTCTGAATCCATGTGCCAAGGAATAAATGACATTAGAAATAGTTACTGCAGGAATAAATATACAATCTGTTCCTTGTTTCCTAAACCATGCTGTTTAAAGTAAAAACAATGTGTCCTGGGGATAAAATACTGAGGTGACAATGGCACAGGAAGCCAGGCTGAGAGGGAAAGACCACTCTACAACATATAAGCTGCTCGCCCTGATGTAACATGACATGGGAGCGGCCCTTACTTCAGCACTTAGGAAGTGGATGAAAGATTGTAAGATCCTATCTCCAAAAACAATTAAAAATATATAATTAATAAACATCAAAGGAACCAGAAACAGACTGCAATGAGCTGAAAGCTGAATGAGAAATTAACCATATTTTCAAATCTAATATTAAATTTTTTACATCAACTGTAACTTAAGTGGGTAATAGGTTCCAAAAGATAATCCAGGGGCTGGAGAAATGGCTCAGTGGTTAAGAACACTGGCTGTTCTTCCAGAGGACCTGAGTTCAATTCCCAGCACCCACATGGCAGCTCACAACTGTCTCTAACTCCAGTTCCAGGGGATCTGCCATCATCATATAGACATGCATGCAGGCAAAAACCACCAATACATAGAGAATAGAGATAGTTTTTTTAAAAAATCCAAAATTTAATGTATTTTCCTCAGACTATCCTTATACACACAATATATATGAATATATGTAAATGAATGATCTAAACAGAGTATGAAATCCTTAGGTAGGCTAAAAGTAAGAATTTTCCCAACTATATGTGAAACACTGCTTTGGGGGCTGGGGAAATGGCACAGCAGTTAAGAGTGCATACTATCTTCACAGAGGACCAGAGCTCACTTCCCAGCACCCATGTGGACTGGCTCACAACTCCAGGGATCTGACTGGCTAAAATATTTTTTAAATTATTTTATGTTTATGGTATTTTGCCAACATGTACATCTGTGCACCATCTGTGTGCCCAATGGAGACCAGAAGAGGGCATCAGATGTCCTAGAACTAGAGCTGTAGATGGCTGTGAGCCACTGTGTAGGTGCTGGGAACTGAGCAATCAGTGCTCTTAACCACTGAGATATAGCTCCAGTCCCAAATATTAATTTTTTAAATGTATATACTTGTATTATCTGATACTGATTAAAATCCAAAATATATTCAAACATCCATTATTATCTATTGAGATACAAAATATACAAATACAATGCATCAGAAAGCAAATTTATTTTCTAATTATATTTATTTATGTGTGTATCTGTGTGTGTGCACACTCATGTTCCATGTTTATGGAGGTCAGAAGCCAACTGAGGTAATCATAGTTGGTGACAAGCACCTTTACTCACTAAGCCATCTCCCCAGCCCTTCAAATAACAAATTTCAAAGATGTTTACCCACCTTGTAATCCTATGGAGAAGAAAAATTGTCCTCTTACTTTCAACAGTTATATCCCGACTTAGCTTCACAAGCCTCTCATATTTATCGTGCCTCGCGTCCAGCTCCTGCTGAAATGCTAGAACACATTGTGATGACCATGAGCATTCATTCCTGACTCACAGCTGGTCAAACACAGAAGGCACATGCCAGTGCAGATGCAGCCAACACTGTAGTCGCCTGCCTCCACGAAGACTCAACAAGCAGAACACAGAGGCCATGACAGTAACTCTCAGAACACAGACTCTGAGCGCTCCCCTCTAGCTGTGATGCACAGGAACACGGGCTTCAGAATCCCTGGAGGCTTGTACAGAAAGCTGTAAACTATTTTAAAGTGACATTGGAATAATAAGGGAATACTACAAACCACCTTACTGTCTTCTTCAGAATATCACTGTCAGGGTGTAGTCTCCTACAGGGCTGGGGACAGGGTTCAGCTGGTAGGGTTCTTGCCCAGCATGCACTAGCTCTGGGCTTAGTCCTCAGCACTGCATGGAAACAATCCCCAGAAGACGTACGTACTTGGAGGGTCACTGATCTCTCTGTGCTCTTCCCAACGTGGCTACGCTGAATAGTAAATCTTTTCTCTTTTCCCTATAAAAAAGGGCATGGTGACAGAGGCATGCACAATCCCCAAACACTCAGCAGACGGGGGCTGGAGGATTAGAGTTCAAGGTCATCCTTAAGAGACTAGTCTGGGCTATTAGACCCTATCTCAATAATGATGATGATATTTGGATTTTGCCTAATATTATAAATGCTGTCAGTCTGATATTACAAATGCAAAGTTAGATGATGCATAGTCTCAAGGAGATATAGGTATAAATAACAAGCAATTAAGTAAAATACAGTAATAATAAAATAAATACATGGAGAGGGTTTAGGGAGAGAAATTCATCTTATGAGTGAATGGATGGAAAATTGAATGAACGCAGTGTTCGTCAGCAAGGAACTGCTTAAGTTGGGTCTTGAAGAGAACATGGTCCACTGGAATGGTAATGAAAGCAGTAAGTCAGAAGCAAAGAACTAGTAGCCCACAAGAGAAACAGGAAACCAGCAGGAACGCTGGAAACGCACAGCTTGTTTTCATTCGGTCTCCAGTCACATGCTCTGCTCAGTGCGCTATGCAGATCACTGTAGGCACTGTGTGCTTTCAAACTGTCCACAAGTTAGTGAGACCCTTCTCTTTACGGGTGCAACCTACTTCCTTCTCCTAAACATGAAGCAGTTCTTCATTTGCCTTGCTTTTAACAGATGCAATGTGGCAAACACAGTCTGTATCCGGAAGCCCTTGACTATTGTGTCCCATGAAGATGCTAACATCAGTGAACAGGGAAACTGTTTCACACTAAGCAGGGCGGTGGTGGAGTAGGCCTTTAATCTCAGCCCTCGGGAGGCAGAGGTAGGCAGATCTCTGTGAGTTCATGGACAGCCTGGTCTACAAGAGCTAGTTCCAGGACAGGCTCCAAAGCTACAGAGAAACCCAGTCTCGAAAAAACAAAATAAAAAAAAGTTTCACATTAAATGTTACTTTATACGGAAATATGCAACATTCTTTACAACTGTCTTGTACATGACATCCTCTTCTCATGGAACATTTACTAGCTAGCATATATATTTATATTTAGTGTGTTAGACTGAGCACAAAACTTATTTTGAGGTAGCACTTTGCACAGAATAGGAACTGTTAGTAAATCTTGTCTTACATGTACACAGGTATTCACAATCCCCTTAGTCTATTAACTTGGTCATGTTAATCTTGATACCTAAACCTTTGGAATACGGATTTTCAGAGCCGACCTAGCACCAACACAAACCAATCAGAAAAAACTAAGCTTCACATCTGCATGGCGAAATTTCTATCTTGTTTGTTTGTTTGTTTTTAAGGCAAGGTGTCACTAAGTAGCACTTGCTAGCCTGGATGTCCTAAATCGTTGAGGGCCGCTTTTTGGCAACATTACGGATACACGATCGTTACAGTTCTAATTCTCCTTATGGAAACTTACATTTGAAGGCCAACATCACCGGCGAAGACGAACTGACATCCTTCCCTTCCCTCCTTTGGTTATGCGGGAAGTTGTCATGCTTCCTCTTCCTGAAGCCTCCTGGTCCTTACGTAGAAAAGAAGACGAACTGAATTGTGCCCTTCCATCGTCGCCCTTGGACAGCCCGTACCCCTTCCTCCCGCGGCACCCGTAGGGCCTGGCCTCCCGGGCCGCCTCCTCGGCCGCACGGGACGTGCCCAGGCCCTGGGATCGGTGACAGCCGAGCGAGCGGGGTACACGAGGCCCAGCCCCTCCCCTCCGCCCCGGCCCCGCACCTTCTTTGCCGCTCATGACCGCGGGGCCTCAGCTCGCACACGCAGGGACCGCAGCCGCCGGGCCGGCTCGGCGGGCGAGCCGAGAGGTTGTCGCCGGACTCCGAGGAGCGCTACAAGAGCCGGTGGTGAGCAGCACAGGGTCCTCGTCGTTGTGGGCCGCCGCCGCCACCGGAAGCGGAGCCTTCTCGCAGCCTTCCGCCACGGAGCAGCCGGAGCCGCGGAGTTCCCTCGACCACGCACACTTCCGGCGCGAGCCTCCGGAGCCCCGACGGGTGCGCCGCTTCAGTAGCGTGCATTTCCGGCCGCGCACACTTCCGGCCTGTGTCCCAGAGACACGCGTCCCCGGCGCGCACCCTCAGCCGCGCGCGTTTCCGGCGTGCCAGGCCTTGACCACGAAGATGGAGCGCCCACCTGCCCTATGGAGGCGGGGTGCGGGCCGAGCCTGGAGCTCGGCGGGCTGATTATGGTGGGCCTCCCTTCAGGCCTCTGAGCAGCCTCCTGCATAGACGCCTGCGCGCTACTGCAACACCCTGGGCGGGCCTGGAGGTGTTGGCCTTAGCCTTAGTTTTCCCCTCTGTCAAATACGGGTGGTGATCACCGTGAGGTTCGAAGAGAAGCAGCTTTGGAATAGTTGGGAAGTTTGATCCCGTTGTTAGGTCATGAGTTTGAACAGATGCTGCCCCATCTAGCTGACTTTGACCGCACCAGATACCTTGACACTGGCGGGTACCTCGAGACCTCAGCAGCCCCCCGTTAAAGACCCGTGCTCAAATAAAACTAGTCGCTGAACACAGGCCCGCCATCTTCTTCAGTAAGTTGAGGCATGTCCATGTTGCAGACTTTTGGTGTCAGTCTTTCCTCCCTGTTAACTTAGGAACCGAGGGACAGTTAAAGGAAAAGGCAGTCAGGTAGTGACTTCGAGGCCATACCAGGAGCATCTCAGGAGGGTTTTCTGCCTTCAGTGGCCTCCAAAGTGTCTTCCAAGTCAAAAGCAGGCCTTGAGCTGTCGAATCTGCAGAAGCTGGAGGGGTTAGACAGGTTCCTTGTGGATGCAATAGCCCCCAGGAATGTCAGTTGATCAGTGTTGAACACAACTCTGTTGAGTTTCTGAGATTGATGAGCCTGTTCACGTTCACCAGTCCTCCTCTGCTTTCTGATAGACTATGATGTGTGTCTGGAGAGAGCTCAGTAGGCGAAGGGCTTGCCACGAAAGCAGTAGGGACCTGAGTGATACCCAGAACCCACATAGAACATCACTGGGAAGATGGCGGCGACACATCAGTCCTTGGCCTGCTGGCTCGTCAGTCTGGCACACTGGGGAAATTCGGAGCCTGTGAGAGACCCTGTCTTTAAAACACTAAATGGTGGGTAACACCTGAGGAAAAACACCTGAGATTACGCTCATACAAACACACACAAATACTCCGGGAAAGGGAGGAGATGGCCAGGTGAGTCAAGCTCTTGTCTTCCACCCACGTAAAAGCCAGATGGATGCAACATGCTGCTGGTGATTTCAGGGAAAGCAGAGATTGATCCCCAGGCTACATGCTCTAGGTTCACGAGACCCTGTCTCAATATACTAGGGAGATAGCGATCACAGAAGATATTCCATGGTTCCTCTGGCTTGAACACACACACAAACATACATATATGAACATAATGCATACATGGCACACACATGGAAGCAACAAACAGAAAAACAAAAATGTGACTCAACCATGCTTTTAAGAGAGAGAGAGTGTGACTGCTCTGATAGCAACATCATAACTAACTTCTTGCATGATTTTGGAAAAGCAATCCTGTAACAGTCATACAGTGTGTGCTAATTTATCATACTCTCCCAAGACTTCACTTCCCAAAGCCTGAATCTTCCTTTTCCTTCTCCAGCAGTCCACTCCCTGGTTCAGCTGTAGCTCTGCCACCTGAACTGGTTTTTTGCTCCCATTCCTTCTCATGGAGACAGAGTTTCATCACCTGTCGTGACTTCTCAGGGTATTTAAGGGAGGTAAATCCCCTGAGCATTTTCCCAGCACTAATTTGCATATGTACTTAACCCCAGGCCTCCCCAGTGTCCCAGTGAGCTACACCTTTGCCAGGACGTCTTTCAGCGGCTGTGGTACTCTGCCAGGAGAATCCTTTCCGCCTCCTTCTTTGTCGTTTCAGGCACTAACACATAGTGTCATTACAAGGTCAAACAGTTGTTTGTTTTTAAAGGATCATTGCCACCCTAAGTCATGGAAAGGAGGAAGACTTGTAAAATCTAAATCCTGGAATTTTGTCCCTCCCTCTATTGTAATTGCCTCTGTTGGACTGGGGGAAGCCGAAGCCTTGCAGAGGCACCTGCTGTTATTCTGTAGCAATCCTCCCCAGTCACCTTTACAGGGGAAATGTCGTGTATCAACTAATGTTCAGCTCCGGGAAATCAGGTAACAGGCGCTCAAGCGCTGGTATTTTCAGCATCTCCTTTATATTGTTATTACATAAACTAGGGATTGGGATCATGGTAGAAGAACAGAGACTTGAGTTACAGTTTTAGGTTGGATGTGGGAACTTGGAAAGTCTTTGTTGTTGTTGTTTTGTTTCGTTTTTCTCAGTTTCACAGGTTAGTAATTTAACTTGGAGGATTGAGTAAATTGGGATGAAGGAGCTAACCCAGGCTAGCTTCAAACTAGCTTTATAGTTTAGGATGACCATGAACCTGTACCTTCTAAAAGCTGGGATTACAGAAGTGTGTAATCACTTGCACAGGCAGCTTGGGTTTTTGCTTTTATTTTTTTTTTTTAAGGCAGGGTCTTAATATGTAGCCCAACATGGCCCAAAACTTGTCATTGAGATTAGACTGGATTCAAATAATCTTTCTGCCTCAGCCCCCTGTAATGATGAGATTACAGATGTCTCCTTTGATAACCCAAGAGAAGGAAGCCAAACTGGGATGCAGAGGGATTAACCAAGAACTAATCGCTTCCCTGTGAGCTAGGACACCTGTAATCGAGAGCAGAAAGCAGCCAACAGTGAGAAGGGACAGCTGCGTGCACTGCTATCTGGCAGTGATAAGAAGTGCCATCCGTACTGTGACACAAAGATGAGCTGATTGGAATAAGACAGTCAAAAGGGGCCACATGTAATTCCACTAAACTAACCTATTAGGTGTTACTTAGGGCTAGGAGACAAGGAAGAAAGAAATGTCATAGCCAAAGGTAAGGGCTTTCTTTTTGGGTGATAGAAATGTTCTGAAATTGACCATGGTGGTAACACAAATCTATAATAAAACTAACAGTTCTCCAATTGATCACTATGTAAATTTTATGGTTTATCAATTGTATTTCAATAAACACATTATTATTTATTAAAGAGTGAACCAGGCATGGGGGCAAATACCTATAATCCTAGGTCTTGGAAGGCAGAGGCAAAAGGACCACTGCAAATTCAAGACCAGTCTGGACTACAGAGTAAGACCTGTTTTGTTTTGTTTTTTTTAATTGTTTAAAGTGACAGAAAACATTCATTTTTTAAAATTATTTTTCTCCCCGTAATCCAGAGAGCCCTTGCTTTCCTTTTTTAAATTTTTTTTTTGAGACAAGGTTTCTCTGTAACTTTGGTGCCTGTTCCAGAACTAGCTCTTGTAGACCAGGCTGGCCTCGAACTCCCAGAGATCTGCCTGCCTCTGCATCCCAAGTGCTGGGATTAAAGGCGTGTGCCACCACCGCCGGCTCCTTTTTTAAATTTTCTTATTGATTTTATTGAGTTCTACATTTTTCTATGCCCCCCTCCCTGCCTCTCCCTTTCAACCCTCTCCCATGGTCCCCATGGTCCCCATGGTCCCCATGCTCCCAATTTACTCAGGAGATCTTGTCTTTTTCTACTTCCCATGTAGGTTAGTGTAGTAATATGAGCGGCGAGGCTGCGTCCCCATCACCCCGGCCGCCTGCTGGCTTATGCCTCAAAATAATTACACGGACACTGTATTCTTTTAAACACTGCTTGACCCATTAACTCTAGCCCTTACAGGCTAATTCTCATATCCCAATCAACCCATCTCTAATAATCTGTGTAGCATCAGTCTTACTGGGAAAGATTCTAGCCTACGTCCATCCTGGGTCTGAGCTTCATGGCGTCTGGCTCTGAGAGGAGCTGCATGATTTCTGACCTCACTTCCTCTTCCTCCCAGCATTTTGTTCTGTTTACTCCACCCACCTATGTTCTTACCTATCAGGGCCAAGGCAGTTTATTTAACCAATGACCTTCCTCCATCAGATTAGATCCCTGTATGTCTCTCTTAGGGTCCTCATTGTTGTCTGGCTTCTCTGGGATTGTGATTTGTAGGCTGGTTTTCTTTGCTTTATGTCTAAGAGTCACTTATGAATGAGTACATGTGATATTAGTCTTTCTAGGTCTGGGTTACCTCGCTCAGTATGTTTTCTAGATCCATCAATTTGCATATAGTTTTCAAGATGTCTGATTTTGTTTTGTTTTGTTTTTTTTCTGCTGTGTAGTAAGTACTCCATTGGGTAAATGTATCACGTTTTCCTTATCCATTCTTTGGTTGAGGGGCATTTAGGTTGTTTCCAGGTTCTGGCTATGACAAACAATGCTGCTATGAACATAGTTGAGCACATGTCCTTATGATACAATTGAGCATTCTTTGGGTATATACCCAAAAGTGGTATTACTGCGTCTTGAGGATGTTGTTTCCTAATTTTCTGAGAAATTGTCACACTGATATCCAAAGGGGCTGTACCAGCTTGCACTCCTACCAGCAATGCAGGAAGGTTCCCTTTACCCCACTACCTCTCCAGCATAAGTTGTCATCAGTATTTTTGATCTTGACCATTCTTACAGGTGTCAGATGGAATCTCAGAGTTGTTTTGATTTGCATTTCTCTGATGGCTAAGGATGTTGAACATTTCCTTAAGTGTCTTTCAGCCATTTTAGATTCCTCTATTGAAAGTTCTCTGTTTAGGTCTGTACTACATTTTTCTATTGGATTATTTGTTCTTTTGATGACCAGTTTCTTGAGTTCTTTGTATATTTTGGAGATCAGACCTCTGTTCAATGTGGGGTTGGTGAAGATCTTTTCCCATTCTGTAGGCTGTCGTTTTGCACTCACTTTAAATCTTAGACATATGCGTGTCTACCTAAGCACAGCACAACGTAGCTTACATATGCATGTCTACCTAAGCATGGCACAACGTTGCTTACATATGCATGTCTACCTAAGCACGGCACAACGTGGCTTACATTTTCCTTTACCTCACCAGCAAATTCTTAGTTCTTTA